GTGGATGACATTTGATTCATGTGATACGGTGAGACAATTCACGTAACAAAGTGTTATGTGCACAAAGGATTTTGATAAAGTGCTATAAACTTATTGTACATTATCAATAAGTGTCATTTGTTCCAATTTATTCAAAAAGGAAAACTTTCCAACTTAAAATAACTGATGGATATTCAAATTTACTCTTAACAATTACTTTACAAAAAAAAAGATATGTATCATATCATATGTTAATTGATATAGTTGAGATCGGCTGTTAGAATAAATTATGCGTACAAAACATGTATAGTACCTTGAAAAGATCAGTAAACACTAATTAAGTAGCATGAGTTCATTTCTTTGATTTTATTGTTCCTTTTTTCTGCAGAAACTTAAGAAAAATAGGAAAAAGTCGCTGCTTGAAGCTGTAGAAAAGCTCAAATCAGGTAAAACCATGTCCAGCAAATTCATTTAGTGATTAATTTTCTCTTTATATAGGGGAATTTAGATAAATACCCTAAATTTTAATGGAAATTTGAAAACTACACTTAATCTTACAAACTTGGAAAACTATAGTTTTTGTTATATAAAAGTAGGTAAATACCTTTTTACATATTTAACTTACTATATAAATTTATAATAATTTAAAATTATTAAACTAAATTCGAAATTTAATTTCATATTTACTTCTTCTTTTTTAAGTATTTTGTTAGTTATCAATGAATAAAAGCTAAAAAATTTTATTAAATTAAAAAATAAAGATTAATTTATTTTACACAGTTGAATTATATTTGTTTGGTTGATTTTTTTATTTTGTTGATTTATTTATATAATTAATTTATTATTTTTATGTTCGTCGACTTAATATTCAGCTTTTTCGACTTATTTTAATCTGTTGACTTATATTTCGTTTGTTTGATTTTTTACTTTGTCGACTTGTTTAACCATTGACTTATTTTTTATTTTTGTCGACTTAATTTTTAGTTTTGTTGACTTATTTTAAACTGTTGACATATTTTATCGTTTGCTTGATTTTTTATTTTTTTGACTTATTTAACCATTGACTTATTTTTTTATTTTCGTTGACTTAATTTCCAGTTTCGTCGACTTATCTTAAATTGTTGACTTATATTTCGTTTGATTGACATTTTAAGTTATCGACTTATTTAACCTAGTGACTTATTTTTTTTTAGTTTGTTGACTTAAATTTTTTTATTCATCGATTTATTTTAACCTTCCTAATTATATTTTGGTTGGTTAACTTTTTACTCTATCAACTTTTTTAAACCATTGATTTAATTTATATGTCCATCGGCTTGACATATTATGTAAATTAATTAAATTGTAAATCATAAAATTAATTAAAATCAATTCATAATTTTATTTTATAAAAGAATATCATTTGATAATTTTATTTAAATTAATATAAAATTCTATTGTAATTTAAATTTATTATCATCTACAATCTTCAAAGATTATAAATCAAATTTTAAATAAAAGTTAGAAAAATCAAATCATGTTTTTTTAATTTTTCTTCAACTAAGGATAAAACTGTCATTTCAAATAACAAAATAAGGTACTTTTCAAAATTTAATAAATTTGGTATAAATTTTAAATTTTCAATAAGATTTAGGGTATACAATCCAATTTTCTCTTTATATTTTATTAGAAACTAGAGTAGGAGCCGCGTTAATACGCAGGTAAATAAAATAAAAATTAATAAAAAAAT